CATAGGAGGAGCTAGAAAAATGTCCTTGGTGTTAGATCTGTCTTCTGTGAGGATACTGAAATTGTCTCTAGCAATTTTCGCCACTTTCTTACTAATTGGATGATAGGTTAGTACCAATGGGATACGTTCAATATTGTTGGCGTTGTGATTCGGCTGTAGAGTGTCTTTCTGCGTGAGTTGATGGACCTTTTCAAGTGACCTGTCAGTTATGTTTAAATGATAACCACCGTGTATATATATATGTATGTATGTATATATATATATATATGTATGTATGTATATATATGTATGTATGCATATATACCAAATACAACGAACATCTTTGCAAAGCTAAAGCCCATTTCTACAAAAATAAAATTTTGGGGTGTGATCAACGCAAGCTATTTCGTGTTGTTGACCAATTAACATCAGTTAGCACCTCAAACTCTCTTCCTTCATATGATGATCCCAAAGTACTTGCTAACAAGTTTTCTGATTTTTTTAAAGTCAAAAATTGAAAAATATTGCAGCACACTGTTATATAACTCTCCTCAAACTTTAACACCTGCGTTCGAGTCTTGCACAAGTGACTTTTCTCATTTTGTTGCTGTCTCTGAAGAGGAAGTTTTGGAGGTTATAATGTCATCTTCAATTACCTCATGTTCTCTTGACCCACTTCCATTGAAATTGTTCAAGGCTTGCTTTCCTGCTCTCATACCAATTATAACTGCAGTTGTGAACACTTCCTTGAGCTCAGGTTTATTTCCATCTTCGCTTAAGCATGCCTGCATTACTCCCTTGTTGAAAAAGCCATCATTGAATGCTGAAGAACTTTCAAATTTTCGACCTATTTCCAATCTTCCATTCCTTGGGAAGGTCATCGAAAGGGTGGCATCCAATCAGCTGCAATCTTATCTTAACAGCAATGGTTTATTCGCTTCTAGACAATCGGCCTATCGACCAAATCATAGTGTGGAATCTGCTCTTCTTTATGTCCAGAACGATATTCAGATTGCACTTGATAACCATAATGAGGTTTTAATGGTCTTTTGGATTTTAGTGCTGCTTTCGATACCATCAATCATAAGCAGTTACTAAACCGTCTATCCTCGCGCTATGGTATCTCTTGTATCGCCCACCAATGGTTTGCATCATATCTAGATAATAGGTCTCAGTCTGTTGCTATCAAGGATGTTATGTCAAATCCCACTTTACTTACATTTGGTGTCCCCCAAGGCTCGGTTGTTGGGCCAATTTTATTTATTCTATTTACAGCTCCGCTGCTTGACATTATTGCTTCACATGATGTGAAGTGTATGGCATATGCTGATGATACGCAGCTCTATGTTATTTTCCATCCAGATCAGCGCGATTCTGCTGTCAGTAGACTAGAATTGTGCATAGCCAAAGTTCGATCTTTGGTGTGGTGGTTTTAAGTAAAAGTTTCCAGTGATTCTCTTTATTTTTGTTTTGAGTTTTGTCGCTCCTATTGGCATTATGGTCAATAGCAATCACTCTCAAATTTGAAATTGAATGACCAGCTAAATTGAAATGTTCGGCTACTAGTTGATCAAGCTCTAGTTATATCTAGCCAAAGTTCGATCTTGGTGTCAGTCCAACAACCTTATAATGAATGATGCAAAAACTGAACTCATTCATTTTTCATCATGTTTTAAGCCTGCTCGCTGGACTCCTTCTATCAAAATAGGGGATGCATTCATTGAGCCTTCGCTGTCCTGTAGAAATCTTGGAGTTGTTATGGACTCTTCCCTTAGTATGTCTAATCAGGTACACAACATCTGTAATGCCGGGCTTCAGTCAATTCGTAGAATTTGGAGTATCCGGAAGTACCTTGATCCTAGATCAACTGAGATTCTCGTTCATGCTTTTGTAACATCAAGGCTGGATTGTTGTAACTCATTGCTTTATTGCACCTTCATTGGCTTCCAATTGCACCTTCATTGGCTTCCTGTAACACAGAGAATTACTTACAAGATTTTATTATTTGTTTTCAAAGCACTTCATAATTCCTCGCCAATGTTTATTTCACAACTCATTCATCCTTACATTCCTAAGAGGTCTCTGAGATCTAGTTCAGAATCTCTACTTGCTCATTCCACTCGCCCGTCGACAAAGCATTATGATAGTCGTTCTTTTTCTTGGGCTTCTGTCTTTCTTTGGAATGCTCTGCCTATTACAATCCGACAGGCAACTTCCATTGATGATTTTAAGGCAACTCACCTTTTTAGCTTGTATTTTTCTTAATTTTTTTTCCCGAATTTTATTTTTACTGTTAAGCGCATTGAGGCTTTAGCATAATGCGCTATATAAGCCAAAATTATTATTATTATTATATATATATGCATATTTCTTTTTTTGTCCCTGACGAATTGTTCTCCCCGACCGGAAGGCAGAGGAGGGGAGCGATGGGGACCAGGGCGCCAACCCTGTTCAGACTGAAGGCTGATTGGCAAAGAACCAGTACAGTTTTTGCACATGGAGGCTCATTGTTCCGATTTTAGGCTCTCAATATTCCTGTTTTTGTTGTTTTACTTTTCATTTTTCAAACATACAAAATTCATATTCTACAGGAGTGTGTTACTGTATCCATGAAACTTATTCCTCCGTGGTATTACAGTCACGTCTTTATGCCTCCGTGGTCACACCTACTGCAAATAAATAATGGTGCGCAAAACATTTGCGCAAAATGAGTCCTTTGATTATTCATTGGCTTTTATTATAGCTGGGATGTCTCCTGGTTGGTTGAGTAAAATTATAGTAAAACACTAATATTTAAACATAAGTCTATTATACATTTAAAACAGTATTATAAGGTACCCTATTCCCTTAAAGCTGCAGTAACTTGGTAAGGTTTCGGAAAGTTGAGGCCTTGTGGGTTGCCACAGACCGTTAAAGGACCCTCTACACCCGGGGGCTTAGCAAATTTGTAATTCTGAATTAGCCACACAAAAATGAGAAAGACTTCAGCTTTAGCCAGGGCTTCTCCAACGCACACTCTTCGACCAGTGGAGAACGGCAGGAAGCTTGGTAATCGTTGCTTAATAGAATGTGAAGAATCCAAAAATCGTTCTGCAGAAGGAATACAAAGAATAAATCAGTGCTTTCGAAAATCATTAATATTTAAGATAAGACTTGCCTTTAGGACTATCTTAATGTTATTATATGGATGGACATGTTCCCTGCAATACAACAAAACAGAGCAGAGGTGTAAGGGCCGCACTTGTGAAAAAGCTTGTGGAACAATGGTATCGTTTCACAAGCTTTTGTTTGTGAACTTAACAAATAAAGTTAACATTGTGAGTTTTCGATTTGAGCGACGACGTGAAAATAGAACGCATTCACTTTTCCACAACCTTCGCGTACTCTTCACAACATCTAGGCCTAGAGGGGGAAAAACTGGGTATTAAGACATCGAAATCTCAACGTTGTCGCATGTGCAGATGACTTTATTTGACGTTATATTAATCCTAGTCCTTATTATCGTCATGCAATCCTAAGCTCCCTCTTGAGTGAGTTGGCCTCACCTGGTCGAAACTCCTCCGGTGCATCCCAGTATTTCGGGTCATTATGAAGAGCCCAGTGGTTTATAAACACCCATGTGTCTTCAGGTATCCTGCATGAACCTATATTGTAAATACAAATTAAAATAATTGTATAAAATAATTGTAAAAAATAATTGTAAAAAATAACATATTACACGTTAAAATTAACACTCTCTTATAAATGTGCAAAAGCCTGTATGGGAAATGAACTGACAGTAGGAAAGAATTCATAAAATAAAACGTAAAAAATTATCTTCTAACCAATTGAAGAATCTGTCACTGCTCTATGAGGAACACCAAGCGGTAAAACTGTTCCGAATCGCATTGTCTCCATGATGGTAGCCTCCGTGTACGGCAACTTTCCACGGTCACTTAGTCTCGGAGTTCTGTCTCCAATAACTTCATCAATTTCCGTTTTAATTTTCTCCTGTATCTCGGGGTTGTCTACCAAACAACCAATACCCCACAGTAAAGTAACTGTTGTTGTATCTGTACCAGCTGTTAAAGAAAGATTAGATATTTCTTCATAAAAGTAGTCAGTTAAAGCAGAGATTAAAATATTTCTGCATAAAGCTGAGATTTTCCATAGCTTAACACACAGTTCCAACCCGTAGACATAATAAATCTAAAGGGTGGAATTTAGTGTATTCTATATTATTAACTGAATAAAAATAGACTTACCACCGAAGAGATCAGAAACTATTTGTTTAATATGAACGTCAGTTAGGGTGCAGTTGGCGTCAATGCTTTCCTCGGATTTTGCTTCTTTCTGAGCTTGCAGCAGAAGGTCAATAAGGTCATTGGCAGGACGATCTATTGGTATACAGAAGCAGTAGTATTATAGTAATCACATCAACAGTAGGCCTATATTTTGTTGTTTATATATTTATTTATTTATTTTTTTTGCTTTAAACGTCATACGAAATATTGATAATATCCACTAATATCTATCATGACTAGATTGCTCATTGGCCAATCATTTTACAGGAAAAGGTGACCCCCATCATGCAAGAGCCCAAGTGATGTACCAGTCTATTCAGGCTTTTAATAACATTTTTATTATTATCGTTAAAAACATTTTTACAGTACTTATTAATTTAATTTTTTTTTCTTTTTTTTTTCTTTTTCTTGATTTTTTTTTCTGTAGTTTTTAAAAACGTTGGAGAACGTCGGTTTGTTAGTGGTTCTAAATTTGTGCTTTGTATTGACGTATTCGTGACATTTGGGCTCCCTAACATGGCACCGGCAGCTTCACTAAAACCAGCCAATGAACAATTCAGCCATTTAAAGACAGATCAGTGATAATAACATATAAAAAGTATCCAATCAACACTTTCAGAACGTAGCTGCCGCAATACAACACAGTACATTTTTGCCTGGTTCTCACAAGAGCCCTAGTATCCAGATTGGGAGCTAACCGTTAGCGTTAGCACCTGTGTGGGAACGCCCGATTGGTTAGCGCTAACCGTTAGCGGTATATGGATACGCTAACGGTTAGCAAGTGCTACCGATTAGCAGGTTGAGCCAGTTTCTATCATCAACCAATCACACGTATCCGGATCGGAATTTTCTGGTATGGACGCACGGCAGCTAACGGTAAGCAGGATCCGGATCTTGTTAACCGTTAGCTGCCGTGTGAGAACATAGCCTTTAGTCATTAGTAAAAACAAAATTAAAGCCATGTGAAAAAGTACCGGTATGGCAATTATTATACCTTTACGTACTACAATACGAATGGCACTTGCCTTCTTCACAGCTCAAATGAGTTTTAACTTCCCTACTGATGATATCAAGGAATTCCGACATTGTAGCTTTAACCCTTTTGATTGTCGGATTTGGAAAAAATCGAAACCAAGGGATAAAATCGGCTGCAGTTCCATTTCCAAGATCTTCATTGACTTCTTTCGACAAGTCAATAAGGCGTAGCAGTTCAGGATCGTTGAATTCGTACCTTCACATAAAAAAAAATTATGTTTGCTTTGTGAAACAACAAATATCAGACCTATATATTTGTATAGAGTGTAAATGCAATGGGGAGTCGAGTGGGGAAGTATTATAATCTAGAGAATGAAGAAGCTAATCAATCATTAGGACGTGGATGATTGTGATCAGACAATCACAATCATCACAATCATCATCATCATCATTATCACTGTTATCACAAACATTATAATTAAGTCGTGAGTCTTGATGTTATCGAATAATCAAATTCATATTTTTTTACATTATTTAAAAAAAAAATCTTAATTTCCATTATTCATTATGTATGTATATATGTATATTATTCATTGTGTATGTATGCTGTCTCTTATACACTTACAGAAGAGTCAGCATTTATTATTTCATGTGCACTTTCACAATGACAAAAAAATGTAACATACTTGCGTCCAAAGCACATAGAAGCGATTACATTATAAACGGCGAGAGTTATAATTTCCTTAGGATCAAACGGTGCACTGGCCTTAGATTGCATAACGTCGGATAGACGTGGTCTAACGTCATCAATGAGATTTTCCAAGTACACACCAGTTGCAAATTTTCTAGGATGAAAACAAAATGACGCCATTGTTTTTTGGTTTTGGTTTTTTTTTTAAAGTAAATGAAAGATTATTATTTTCGCTGCCATTGATTCCGATTTACGTTAGTTCTGCCATAAAAACTTGCATAATGAAAGTGCACACAACGAGTATTCAACAGTCAATCTTACTTTTGAGTTGATTCAAATCAGTTAAAGAATGGCAGATTCTGTAGACCAAGGAGGGCGTATTCTCTAGACTCAAACTTATAATCCCTTTATTTCTGAGAAAAATTACTTTTAAAGCCAGGCTCCGGAGAGAATAAGAGTTTGATATGTTATACAAATGATTTTCTTAGATACAAAAATCATGCTTGACAAACTCGGGAGATTTTTAAATACATATTGTTATACATATTCTTCCTCCTGTAAATACCGTAATACTCAAATAAGCACCGCGGCGCTTATACAATTTTTGGAGTCTCCAGTGAGGAACTTATTCGAGAGCGGAGCTATATAAAAAAGAAATGGCATGGCATGGCAAATTCCATGCCCGTTCCCATGTTACCTATCTCACGTCTTCCCGTAGTTCGGTAGGCCTATCATAGGTCCTAGTCATCGTAAATAAACGTTAATAAAGAAATGCTTGTGTCTTCAAGGTGTTATATATTCATTTTAACACTGTTATACATTGTATTTAAAATCCAGTTTCTCAAAGTGTTTCATTAATATAATACTCTCGATTAAGCACCGCGGCGTTTAGCGAATAAAAAAAATCAGGTTTGGTATTCGAGAGCGGCGCTCATTCGAGCATTTACGGAATAGTGTGAATATTTAGCTCTGTTCACACAATCACAAAAAAGGACTGTGGTATGCCCATATATCATGTCATGTGCCCATATATACCGTAGTCATGATGTGCCCGTAGTCATGATGTGCCCATAGTCATTATGTACCCATATATAGTCATTATGTGCCTATATATGGTCGTGATGTGATGTCATCATGACAATATAATAGGCATATTTATAGTTTATTATCCTTCACACTACTAACCGTATGGCTGTGTGTGCAAGCTTCCGATGTAACTTCCACGTCGGAGTTGGTTGACTAAAAGCGATATCTTTCTGGCCGTATTGGTATTATAGCAAGTAACAAAACCAAATTCAAAATTCTTGCACGACTGTTTAGATTATACGTAAACCATTCATTATTACTGATGGAATGCTCTGGTGACTGAATATTATTTGTATTAAGGAATTATAAGTTTGAACATGGTTCATTGATATATTAACAGTTCTTCTGTTGTGATGTCTTAAGTTGAGAAACATGTTTAGTTATTTTAATTGTATGGTATTTAGCGCCTTTGCATTAGGTTACAATGCGGCGTTTTGTATTTCTCTAGTCATTGGTTCCACATGCGTAAGAGTTTACTGCCATTTTATACTCTTTTGTGGAGAAGTAACGCAGATAAAGTGCAAAGGACACAATACAAGTAAAATCTGAAACAATTTATACAAGCTGTATAGTTGTCTCATGTAAAATGCACAGCAAGGACATGAAACTCGAGGTTGAAGAACCAAACCGTTTGTCATATACCTCAGTTGTAGACATATAGGTAACTTACTCAGGCGCGTAACAGGGGTCTTGGATCGGGGAGGGGGAAAAGGTAATAATTTTCCCGGTTAGTAATTTATCATACCCACCCGCAACCCCCATATAGAAAACAATAAGACACGGGGCTTATCTTATTTATAATATAGGCCATACACATTACACATTGAGGCATTTTAGGTGAAACGATCTATCTTAAATTTTCTTTCTTGAGTTTTGGACTATTATGTGTTTAAATCACATAACTTAAAAGACTAACCCATAAAAAAAAGGGGAAAAAATGACATCCTAATGTCGTCGGAATTGATCAAAACTTTTTAAAATGTGCAACTTTTAGAGGAAATTGGTCTACCCTAACAAGAAATTTAAGATTTTTAGGCACTTTCAGGGGGTGAGAAGGGCATCATCAAATGGTGGGAAGGATTTTCCACAGATGGATATTTTCCACTTGTCTTCCGATGGTTACGCCAGAGAATATCTGGCGGCTTAGATCAAAGGAGTATTGGACACTTTTTGAAGTGGAGAAGGGGTTGCAGGGTGTTGTGAGTCTGGTCGTTATATCTTCCCTTTTATTCTTGTCTTTATTTTTCTCTTCCCTTTTTCCTTTCTGCTTTCTTTTTCCCCTTCTTTCTCTTTCCCTCCCTCTCCCCTCTTTCTGTTCTCTTATTACCCAGCCCGGTACGACGGCTTGGTCAGCCCGGTAAAAACCGTCAGGGGGCAGTCTACCCCTCCAGCGCTTGTTACGCCACTGAACTTACTTAAATACATATGGGGCCGTCCACTAAAATCGTCAGGCTTCATCAACAATGCCTCCTGAACCAGCTCGTAACTATTAATGACGACAGACCAGAACGACCCGAACTTTACAGAAATAAGAGGTCCATACTTTTTCGTTGAATCCATTAGTAGTATTTGTGGCGGTAAATTCCCCATTAACACTGTAAATAATTTGGTAGAAAGTTGGTTGTTGTAAATTCATATTATAATAATCAGATTATAAATTATTATAGTAGGACTACATATTAAGAAATAAAGAAAATAGCAGTAATTATAACATGATGATGATAATAATCATGATGAAGATTATGACGATAAGAACAATCACAGTGACAATAGAATACACCTAATAGTAGCATAACAACGAAAACAATGATGTCAATAATAATATTATAAGTTAATAAAAATATTCCTAATAGCAATAAAAGCAAATAAATGCAGACTAGACCTATATTAAACGTACTGGTCTTATCAAATCTAATTAGTAAGCAAAATAATATAATACTTGGCATATTTCCAATGATTGGGTAGGGCGTAGGGCCAGGTGGCATTCCAGGTGGCCGCCGTATGTTCATGTATATCCATGTTATGAGCAAGACGACGGTTACCACAAATATAGCCAACGTATTTGAAATGAACTCCATCATTCTGAAAGTAAAACGTATAAACCAGTCATCGCTAGAGCTGTGTTCAGATTTAGATAAGCAAGATGTTTAGAAAACAAACCACATTATATTGTTTATAATACAAATACAAAATGTTTATATATATACATATATATATATATATACGGTATATATACATACGGTATATATACATACGGTATATATACATATATACATATATATATACATATATATATATATATATATATACATATATATCTACATATATACTCTATATATACATACTGTACATATATACATACAGTATATACATATATACACACATATATATATATATATATACGGTGTTGGTCTGGGAGTTCAGTCACATAAATAAAAATTTGTGAAAATGAATGCGCGCTTCCGATTCAAGTTGTCTTTGATGGAAAAAAGAGACCTTCTTGGCAATGATTCTGGAAAGACGATAACGAAAGCCCGTCACCGTTTCCATATTTTTAATAAAACCAATTTCTTCTAATTTTAAATAGATTTTCCCCTGAATTCGTGATAATTCGTTATCACGCATAGGCCTAGACTAAATGCGGGACAAATTTATGATAAATAATAATAATAATAATAATAACAATAATAATAATAATAATAATAATAATAATAATAATAATAATAATAATAATAATAATAATCACGCATACAGTATGTTTCTGAAAAATGCGTGTTTCATCCAAAATCACTTTAAAATGCGGGACCGTCCTGCACGATTCAAAACGGTTGGTAACTATGTAGGTGATGAAAACAGCACGGTGTACGGTGTATTTGCAGAGGAATTAAATAAAACCATAGAGCGATATACAACATGTAGTCACTAATACAATCCTTTATATCGGACAAAAGTTATCTATTAGGCCTAACCTGTGAATTGTACAATATAAATAGGCCTATGTTATTTATTTTAAAATTCTCACATCAATCACAAGATTAGAAGCTGGTCTGTTACTTATCAACCCGACACGTAACCTCTGACCTCTTGTCATATTGCGTGTGTAATTAAGTTGTAAAGTGATCCCTCAGGAAAATATCAAATTATGAAATGTGATAGCCTTGGCACTTTGACCTCTGACGTCAGTGCCCGATATTTAATAGAAACACGTAAAATGCAATAACGAGATATAACCATTATCATATAACTTTCGGGTAGGCCTACAATTCATTACATTAATAAGAATAATAATTTCAGGGGCAGATTTAGGAGGGACCTGGCCCCGGCCCCTTCCTCCTCCCCTTTTTAGGAGGTTAACTTAAAAAAAAGAAAAAGAAAAAAAAGGTAGCCCAGAACGCCTCAAATGTTATTTTTGGGCGTCTAGAACACAAAAATTTCACGGGGCATGCCCCCAGACTCCTTAGGACATTGTTGTCTCGATCGGCCCAAATTTCGCACCCCCCAACCCCCCTTTTTGGACATCTCTGGATCCGCCCCTGAATTTAATCAATGTTATATTGCCGGAGATGCATTTTGAACTAGGCTACTATGGCTAATGACAGGGTGCAGTACGCTTTCTTCTATTGATGGAATGATCTGTTACCTGAAGCACGAACTCCTGTAGACCAAACCCAGTAGGACTATTGTTTCGTTTCTACAGAAAATTTACTCAGGATGCATACTAAAATAATACAAAAAACATGCTGTACAATAATTTGAGAGCGGATAAGTAGGCCTAGATACCTAAATCAATGTTACACTCCTTTAGTATATTAGGACAATTAATGTCATGTCGCTAAAATGTGCACACAAATGCAAAATGATAGGCCTAACTTCGTCATTACGAAATCTTAATCGGCCATCTTACCCTCTTGAAATGCAGTAGCAATCCTTTACAAGCCTCTAATAGCAAAATCAATCACTCACTACGAACAATATTGCAGGCGATACAGACCAGTTTTGCTCAGTCACCTGCCGTTGACAAACTTTTGGCCGATTGATTTATGACCCGTTAATCAATATTTGCTTATCGTAATTGTAATGGCTGTACCATTGTACAGCGCATAATTTAAATGACTATTCAGTATGTGAATCCACGTAGAAGTTACAAAGAATGTTTATGCTGTGTTATTGTTGCGTTTTGAAGATATATGCCTACAAATGCGCCGACTCGTTCGTATGAAATTAATTGAATTATATACAGTCATAATGACCCAAAATGTTGTTTATCAAGAATAATAAGTGACATGTGATGACACAAAAGCCTGGACCAATCTTAAACTTTGTTATTTTTATATTAACCGATAGGTGTAAGTAATTCCCCTCCCCAGAAAAATCTCAGGCCCCAATTGTAAATTTCCTTTGGCATTAATACAGTAATACGTTTTCCTCCTGGTCCAGGCTTTTGTGCAACAACTGTACGATATCAGCTTAGAACATAGAATATTAATTTTGATAAACAAATGAAAAATATTTGATATATTTTGCTCAATATTGACTGCACCGCACCCTTGAATTTACATATAACAAATATATTCATGAAGAGTTTAGTTCATAGCAAAAGCCCTGTCTAGGCTATCAAATTTTAACTATGACTATGATTTTGACTATGGGCAATCAAGAAAGCTTGATAGTGTGGCCAAAGCTTTTGAACATGTGACCAATGCCGTAGCCAGCTATTGGGACAATTGGGAGTTCTCATATTTATGCGTAAAATGGGGTTCATTTCAAGAGAAAATTGGTCCACATTATTTGAATTTACATGTAAATTAGGTCCACTTTGCTGTCCCGCACTGTTTCCAAAATCCTGGCTATGGCACTGAATGTGACATGCCTAAATATGGTCGTGATGACATCACATCATGGCCATAATTAAAATATAGGCACATCATCACTATATATAGATAGGCAAATATTTCAAAGAAAATGTAATACTATAGTGTGGACAAGGCTCCAGAATAAAGGCTTTTCATGTTTTATTTAGTCGATTTTGGTGATCTAGAATTTACAAAATATTGCTCAAAAATAGAAAATGCATTATAATATATGGCATGCCGCAAAATAGCAAAAATTCAAAATGATACTTTTGCTATATGGTATATTACAATTCTCTCAGGTGCAGATCCAGTAAAGGGGGGCAAGCATGTACCCCTCCATTTTGCTTCTAAAATTTAATTTTTCAATGCGTCAATATTAAGTATTGGAATACGCGTTACTCACTTACTATTCTGAAAATTTTGTGCCGCCACCCCCACCCCCAGTTAATGGATCTGCCCCTGTCTCTATTCAAGGCCAACAGAAGTCGTTCTCTTCACACTCTCCAGAGAAATTTCTCCAAAATGTCAGTAAGGTCAACCAGTGGTTTTATCAGAGAACACATTCTTAAACACAGTGTACCGAAAGTTTAATTATTTCATTTTATTATAAAATTATTTTAAATAATGTTACCATTAATGTATTATAAATTTTATTCTGGTTGCTGTTTATGTTCTTGCTGTTGTTTTTTTTTTAAAGTACTTTTGCTTAAGATGTCTTTTCATGTCTTGGATTGGCGTGTCACTATCGGAGCCAGACGAAGGGATGCGCACGACACGACGAACAGATGGCAGCTTAAGGAAAAGATTCTGACCGAGACTATAGCTGGCAGATGTCATCCAGTAGAGGGATATAGCCTATAAAACATCAAAAGTATACAAATAAATAATAATAATAATAATAATAATAATAATAATAATAATAGTAGTGTAGATTTGTATAGCGCCGGTATCAACCGAACAAGACAGCGCTTGATGTTGATACTAGAGATTTTCTTTGCTCCCTAAAGAGTCCATTCGTGTCTGTGCTACCTCGGTAACCAGCAAATCTTCTTGGCCGCCACTGGGGCTGTCTTTACTAGTACACCGGGTTATCCCTCTACTTGTCACGAATGTAGTACTGGATTCCTTATAGTGCACACAAGCCAATATACACACTGGGCCTACGGTTTATAGTCCTCATCCAAGACTTTTTCCATTACCAGAACAAAAGATGAGCCTACCGCTCAAAACCAGTATTATGGTTCTAGGCCCCACTGCCTGCCACAATCAATTCCTTATGGCCCTGTCACACCTCAACGATTTAGCCAGAACATGCCGACGTATGAAAAAAATTGGCCAACATGCTGGCGTACATCAAATAAGTTATTGGTAAGTTTTGTATAAGTTAAGAGCACACTGAAGCACGCTGGTATACGTCCTAGTACGGCAAGTACGTCGAAAAGTTTTGTGCATGCACAAAACTTTTGGACGTATGCCAGCATATGGCTCATATGTTCCACATACGCGGGCCATAAGTTGTAGGTAAGGTAAGTCACGTTACTTGTAAGTTACACAAAAGCCGATATACCATACGTTGACATATTTTCTAGCATACCCAAAACTTATTTCTAACCTAGGAGTAAAGTGCTTTGAATTTATATGTACTGTACAGCAACTTAAAGCAAACTTATCGCCAACATATACTAATGTACGTAGACGTATTTGATGTGTTCCAGACGACCACAGCACTTACTGAATGTGTTTCTAACTTACAGTTACCGTATAATGGCGTATTGGCAGCGTTTAGGGGAATAGGTATATCAAAATGAGATGATGTCAATACGGTGATGCTGATGCTGCGATGTCTAGTGCAGTTATGATTTGAATTGACGAGCGGCAGTCTTTTTATAGGCTATGTCGCATGATCATTGGTGATACGCTACCGCTTGCTGTGCATAAGGCAGACTGTTGTTGGGTATAAGGTGTGAACGCTGGCAACACACTATCCTTTTGTTGGTACAAGTTTTATATCAGTTATCAAAACATTCTACATAAGTTACTGATAAGTTATATACTGTACATCCAATACGTTATGAATACGCTATGTATGCACCCGAAATTTTAAAAAAAACATCGACAGTTTAGCTTATGCCAGTGTTTTAGGAGAAATTTTGATACGTCGGTATACTAAACAGGACCATTTGATGTTTGAATTGATGCAGATAAATCTAAAAAAGGTTTAATCCTAACACTACAGAGTTGAGCTTGGCGATTATGATGCTTGCTTTTTAACATATCACAGAAACCGGTTTAACCTAAGCAAGAAGTCATTTTGATGATCTAGAATATACAAAATATTGCTCAGATATAAAGAGTGCATTATAACATAGGGCTTGCTGCAAAATAGCAAAAAGTCAAGGTGTAACAGGGCCATTAGATGTTTGAATTGATGCAGATAAATCTAAAAAAAGGTTTAATCCTAACACTACAGAGTTGGACTTGGCGGTTACAACGCTTTCCATTTAACATATCACAGAAATCGGTTTAACCTAAGCAAGAAGTTCAGAATCTTTCTCACATCCCCCAAAACTCACCACTTTGATACTTCCGCGAGAAACAAGTTTAGAGACTATCAGTGGATACTAAATAATAAGCGTGCATTGCTGGATGGACTACTATATCATTTTGTTACTGTGTAAAAAGAAATAAAAAGTAAACATAGTAGATAAATATAAACTTACCGATGGCAAATAAGCTGCAATAGGTATCATCAAAATAGAGAGCCCGCGAAATAGATTTGTGATGTATCCTTGGAAACGTGTTGCTTTTCGACCAGTTAGTGTGTGTATCTCAACATTCATCAAATTTAGAATGCCAACTGCCACAGGTAAAACACAGAATGGATCCGGTAGAACGAGATTGCTAAACCATAAAGTGCCACCATCTGATAACGCAGGTACAAGGTATGCTGGATCTGATGTAAAGTTATATAACAATAATCAATTACTAATTAAAGAATTCTCATCTGCTGTTAAGGTGAAACTTTTTTTGTTCCTTGTTTAACAAACCTGCCACCACATCAATAATGATGATTTTTAAAAAATAATTAATTTTTGGCCAATGGCGCACCTGCCTCCACAAATAAATGGAAATTTCAGAAAAAAACAAAATTTTTTTATTATTTTTATTACGCTGACCGTTGCCTTGAAATCTCCAAAAATAAGATATGTATATTTCATAATTATGTAACTTTAAAGCATTTAACAATAAAATCTTTTTGGGAATATATAAAGTAATATTTAAAACACACTGTAATAATATTAAGAATTACACTAATTATAAATAATTTGTGTAAACTTTGAATAAAGGTGTCCAGATTATCAAATTTTCTTTGACAAAAATCTGTTGTATACCCATATATACTGTACATACTCGCTCATAAAACAAGGCTTAAAATAGCAAATTACAATTAAAAAAAAACAGGGGGTTGCCTTAAAAGCATGACACACAAATTTTAGATTTTTAAAATCATGTTTGTCCTTTGCGCGATCGTCTGCAACACGAGAATTCACTACTGCTAGAAAGCTAATAAAATCCTATGAATGAATGCAATTTAAAATACAGGCAAATAAGCATTTGATGAACATTTAAAATCTCATAAAATGGTATTATTTGGAAGATTAGCTTTGCATTTGGCTCCGTTTTTAGCCAGTATGAAGAATATGTAAAGCAGCAGAAAGTATGAATTCCAAATGTGGAACGGGGGGGGGGGGGGATGTCTTCTTATATGCCCAACATACAAAAAAATTTTCCAAAAACCTTCGCAAACTCGGAAGTCGCTTTATAAACAAGTATATATGGTAGTCAAGATGTGCCTATTATGGTTATGATGTGATGTCATCATGACCATATTTAGGTTTGTCTGATAGCTAGCCTGGACTAGGATTTACACACATCTTGCACATACCTATAAAGAAGTTGGATGCAATAGCACCTGTCATGTTCCTCAGGGATAATGAGACGCATATCCAAAGCGGTATTTGAACCAACAGCATTAGGCTTCCCTTGGCTGGGTGACAGTTATCGCGGATATATAACTCCTTTGCTGACCTCTGCATCTGCCAGAAAAACAGTGCACTTAAATCGTTATAGCTAGGTTTATGAAAAACGTAATTGTATCACCACCAAAACTAAATATAATATACAGTAATATATTATCATTAAAACTAAGTATAAATGGTAATTATAACAATACTATCAACATCATCAACAATAATATTTTGTGATAATGATGAAAGCATAAATAATTTAATGTTATTGATAGTTTTATATTGATAATCAAGGAGGCTGATGATGATAACATGGTGATCATGATAAGATGAATATGCTGCATGGTTTTACCATAAATTTGTATGGAAATGATAATGTTTTCTTGGTTGAAGAAGTCACAGTAGTTCAGAAAATCAGTGGTGGATCCAATAATTTGAAATAATGGGGGCCCATTGAGGGACTTTTACAGATGGATGGTCTGTAACACATCAGACCCAACCATGGTGGAGTTTAGGTGTTAAAGCCCAAGATTATGGCACCTCTAAATGGCTGGAAAAGGTACACTCAAACTTCAATTTTTTGTTTAATTTCCTTTTTTGCTCCATTTGTTCATTGCAAAATGTAAGGGGTGCCCGGGCCGGCTCCCCCCACCCTTGAATCCAACACTGTGAATTTCTGGCTAAATTCCAATGACAAAATTTAGATGCAATATATATCTCACTCTATATATAATTACAATTCAATAATTATAGAAAAATTTAATGCCAGGTAAGAAGCAATGTGGGTTTTACCTTACCAATTTAGTTATCACACCCTTCATTCTTTTTTCATTCCACTTTTGTTGTTTTGCCTGAGCAGCAAACCGCTGCTGGAAAATTCTCCGTGCACTCTGCATAATTTCTGGTTGCAAGTTTTCAATTTTTGCTCGAATGTGTTGCGAATAAACCGAAAGAGGAAACGTCATGACAAGACGAAGCGCGAGAGTTGTCATAACAATACTTGCCCACCATGGCAGTCCTGTAATTGAGTGTCCGTATTCTAAGACACTCTGCGCAAGATGAACGGGCTCTGAGTTTAAAATATTTTCGTAGACAGTTCTTGGTGCATCAGATGAATAATTTCTAGCATATATACTTGGCCCTCCTGAAGACATTCTTGAACATTTCATGATGTTATTGTAGCACATTGGACTAACACTTTGGTAAATTATACTCCTATGTATTTGATTAGAGGGCTTTCTTTTGATAAGTTTTCTGCGATATATGTCTTCATCATACAAATAAAATTTACTCATAGAAGTGCTTGAGTGGAGGCAGCGAAGACTTAGAAGGTGCTTGCATGACACTCTCACTACCAATACCATCATCTTGTGACTTTCTACAAAAAAAAAAATTTCTCATAATATTATCCTTAAAAAAAACAGAAAAATTTATGAAATGTTTTTTTATGTTTGTGATTAACAACAGTAAGTAGTTATAAAATGTATGGAAAAAAATAAAAGGAGAAAAAATAAACAGACCTAGAGTACTAAGGCTATCTAGCCTATTAGTGCTCCAATAAATAGGGGCCTAGCCCAGCCAGGGCCTACTACTACTATCTGCTACCAACCTAGGCCCAAGACTGAGGCCTCTTTTGGCCTAGGCTAGGCTAGTCTTATAATAATAAGCTTAGGCCTAGCCTCTACTACCTAGCTAATAATTCAGTACACTTATTTCACGTCGGTGGATACACACAGTCAAGAGCAATTAAATGATTTTTTTTGTAATCATAACCCCTGTGCAATCAGGAAAATCAGAAAAGAGTGTGAACACTGTTCAGTGAATAACTCACCGTATCTAAGACTGAAATTCACCATGGGCGCAGACATCTTAGAATATTAGAGGAAGAGAAATACAATAGAGGGCGGCAGACAAATATTTCCTATTATCAGAACTTTAGATGAATAAAAAGTATAGCCGCGTCAGTCTGTACAGTATAGAACAGTATAAAGTAAATAACAGCAGCACTTTTGAGACTAACAATATATAATTTATTCTCTAGCTTTCGTCCACACAGTGGACTTCATCAGGAGACTGTGTCCCTCTCAAAAGTGCTTCAGAACTTTAGAGAAATTTTATCAGCAGATGTTGTTGTCAGAGTGTCACTTTAAGAGGTAAAAGAAGTATAATTGATGGCGGCAGTACTTATTAAAGTTAGAAAATATCCAAATAAAAATGACAGCATCAATACACCATCCAAATGCTGAGATAATACGTCCTAAAACAGATCTCCCTCTAAAACCCCTCTAATTGAAGACCACCTCCAATTAAAGATCACTTCTGTTGTCACAATTTTACAAGAAAATCCTTTATCTCTAATTAATTAGGGACCAAAGCTGGTAAAGACCATGGAAACTCCGGGATCAAAAAAGTGGTCATCAATTGATATGTATGGCTTTTATTAAGAGATCTATAAAAATTAAATCGATCGAAAGGCGCTATATAAATGACCATTATTATTACTGTATATATAACAATACAATAATGACCAAGAGATTATATATTCATAAGATATGTTCACTGTAGCCCCTTTTTAACATTGGTAGGCCTACGGTAGGTAGGCTTGCATGAAAAAATTATCTGATTTAAATCAAATACAGTATTTACAATATTTTTTAGTTATCATTATCATCATGATAAAAATATACGGCAGTGGAAATTATAAACAATTAGTAGAGCTACATCCTTAAAAAAAAGTGGTCATCAATTGATATGTATGGCTTTTATTAAGAGATCTATAAAAATTAAATCGATCGAAAGGCGCTATATAAATGACCATTATTATTTCTGTATATATAACAATACAATAATGACCAAGAGATTATATATTCATAAGATATGTTCACTGTAGCCCCTTTTTAACATTGGTAGGCCTACGGTAGGTAGGCTTGCATGAAAAAATTATCTGATTTAAATCAAATACAGTATTTACAATATTTTTTAGTTATCATTATTATTATTTGTTGGTTTTCTATTTACATTTTTTTCTTACTACTGCTGTGTATTTGTATGTTACGTCACATGGTTCTTAAGTTCTTACATGGGTCATCCGTTACTTAAAATATATTTATATACTTTTAAAATTGACTACAGTGCACAAATCAGTCAGTTAATTTACCAAATTAACATTTATTATACATTCTTTAGATCTACATAAATATTATTGTAATAGGGATAAATATTAGGCCCCTACAGATGGAAAATGCGTGGACATAAACAAAAAAAAAAACCAGAACGAATAATACTAATAGTCCAACATTTGAAAAAATGGGTAGGCCTACCAAGCAAGAGACATTTTTGAGGACTTTTACTAAAGCTTTACATTTTCTTCAAAATAGTGTCTCCCTTACCAATGCGATTGTGGATATGAAATACGTTACAGTAATAATGTTCTGTTTAATTGACGTCATTTTAACAATCGGTATCTTGACAAAATACGCATACACAAGCGGCAAACTTCAGACTGCCTATCGAGCTCGGACTGTCATCACCTATATTTATGCGAATGAAAATAATATTTTCAGTTTGCAATGTAGTGTAACAGCAACCTGATTTACCGATTCGCTTGCAGTTTTAAGGTTTGCTCAAAATAATTTGAGGGCCTTTTTCGTAAATATTAAGGAATTTATTATCAGTAAAAGCATTCATGTGCAAATACTGCTGTTGTATCCGCCCCCGTCTGCCAGCTTGGCTTCGCAGAAATAATAATAGAAATACCGGTAAGTTTAAATAACTGCTGTTATTATAAAAATATACGGCAGTGGAAATTATAAACAATTAGTAGAGCTACATCCTTAAAAAAATGTTTCAAACTTTTTTTGCAGGTTTGAATAATTTGTCTAGAGAGCCTACTTTGATGAAATATAATTCATAATAAATATAATTTATTATAATAAATATTGTTTTATGACTAGGCTTAGGCTAAACATAACCTAAATATAAAGTGTAAAAGAAATAAATTGATATTATATTTTATCGTAAAAATTTTATTACAAATTTAAATGTACTTTGTATTCGCTTTTTGTTCAAAATATTGCAGTCTTTGTTTATTTTTATTCAACTGCAACCAAGGCTATTCAACAACTTCCTGTATCTATGGTTACTTTGGCACACATGCGAATTACTGAATATGTGCGTTGTGCGTCACACGCTAGAATGTTAGAAGTAGACCATAGAGATATAGTGCGCTAACCGCAATGTATTCGATGTTCGAAATACGCAGAGCTCTGTGTGTGTACCATCCAAGATGGCTGCCATAGATTTAGCCAATCCATGAAGTAGACTTAAATTCCGGACATTGTAAGGTATTTGCTAAGGCGTGATCCACGGTGGTGACAATTATAGAACGACTGGATAATCGAATGTAACCAGTCTCCAACCACGCCCATTTACAGCAGCGTTTGATGCATTACTCTCTTATTGGTGAAATATGTGCGCGCAAAATTACCAGAACCAATGGTTAACCATGGAGGTATTATTGAGAAGGAGATCACTCGGCAAAGCTACGCGCACGCAGCGCTATGCAAATGAACCAAGATCAAAGTTGCCGCAGCGCGTAAAGAACGTTTGCGCGATGCCTTTGAAGTCCCA